ATACGTAAGACTAAAAACCATAGTTGAGGTTTAAATTTAAATTTGATAGCTTTTGTAGTTTGGCAACAAACCATAATTTAGTCGTCAAATCTTACTGCGGTAACTTTTTTCCGCATCCGATATTATAAAAGCATAGTTTAATTGTATTTTTTCAAAAAAAACTTGTCAAGTATTTGTCAAGTATTTTTTGAAGAATTTATTCAAAAATACAAGTATTTTCGATTTTGGATCTGGTCACACTGATCGGCACATGCATTGTCTCCCCTATCAAAGGGTCTGTTTAAGAGGGCTGTTATGGAGAGCGGATCCGTTTTGTATAATAAGGACAGACCGGCGCTCAGTACTGTTGAGGGCCTCCAAAAGGCTAAGGATTTGGCAAAAAGACTTAATTGTGATGAATATGACTACAAATGGTTGGACTGTTTGCGAGCCATTGAGGACCCAAACCTTTTCATAGAAGGCATGGGATTAACTCATCTCGTGTTTGGTACTGAATTTCTACCCGTTTTACCACAAAAAGCATTTGAAAATAATTTATATAATAATGGTAAATATTTACTTTAATTGTTAATAATAATTATTATATTATACTTAATAATATACTGAAAATTCAATTCTAATCATACGTTAGACATTGAGTTGATAGCGGGTGTCAGCAAAGATGAGGGACCTATGATGGCAATGATGTTAATCCCGGAAATGAGGGCCCATTTTACTGTCGAGTCGTTCAAGAAAGCTGTTAATGGTTTGAACGTTGAATACCATAATATAGATGAGGAGGAAGTGTCCGATTATTATCTCAAAAATATTGACACAACAAATGAATCCCAATTAAAGGGTGCATTGATTTCACTGTACGGAGATATGGTGATGACGTGCCCCACCTATCACTTCGCCAAACAATTTGCCAAAAGTGGACAAAATGTTTACTTTTTCAGATTTAATTACCAGAGCAATCAAATAGCAGAGATGAGTAACGGTTTATGCAGTGGTCATACCATATGCCACGGCGCCGGTGCACCTTTTGTGTTGGGACAACCTTTAATACATCATCAGGGTGATTTCACAGAAACTGATTACGATTTCAGTATAGAAACAATGAATATATGGACAGATTTTGCTAAAAATAGGTATTTATTATCATTTTATAATTAAATTTAAAATTAAATTGAATATTTGTTGTGTAAGAAAAGCACACAATGTTTGGCCGAAACTAATAGACATTTCGGACGCGAATTCAGTGCCAAAAGTGAAAGACTTGAATCCCAACGATATGTCACTTGTTTNTGCCAAAAGTGAAAGACTTGAATCCCAACGATATGTCACTTGTTTTGGACAATCCTTACGGAAGTACTTGTGATGGCATTTGGAGTCAATATTTTTAATTAAATTCATTTTGACAATAGTTTAATCATCAAAAATAACAAAATTTATTCCCTTTTTGATTTGAACTTCATGTTAATCACTCATTAATAATCAAAATTAATAATTATATATTTTAATATGAATGCTAAATTAATATTAATTTAATTTCACAATATTTATAATTATATATAAAAATTAAATTTAATAATGAATAAGCACAAACATTAGTAATTATACAGTAAACATAAAATAGGATACTTGCTTAAAAATAGTTGCAGTGTTTATGATCTGTTCAAAATTTAAATGACTTTGCATTAAGTGCAAGTACTACCAGTGATATTATTCTTATGATTATAATAAACAAATTCTAATATATTAGTGCATCAGACAGACAGTCATTTTGTTGTGAATACCAAAGTTTAGTAACTAAACTAAAATCAATATAAACTTTATATTATATAAAGTACTATTTTCAATTTACTGTTAAGTTTGTAAAAACAATTTTTTGATAAGTTATATAGATTAGCTTTTTGTATAAAAATGCTAACTTTTAATAAATTAAATGTTGTATTAATAGTGAGTGTAATAGTGGTGTGCATTGTTCGGTGTGTTTGCGATGAGAGTTATAGTGTTGTCGTGAATACGAGTTCGGGTGGAGTGAGGGGACAGACACTGAATGTTGTGAATCACAAAATCAATCAATTCTTGAATATACCTTATGCTGAGCCCCCGGTGGGCCCACGAAGGTTCAGTCCACCACAACCCCTCAAAACACCTAAACAAGTAATAATTTTAATAATATTATTTTATAATTGATACTGTACTATAATTCAAATTAAACCAAAATTTATTAAATAAATTATGCCTAAAATTAATTTAGTTTAAGTATTACGAGTATATACTGTAAATTGTATAGATTTACATAAATCTTAAAATAATTTTAGGATATAATCGATGGCACAGTGAATGGAAACTCATGTATACAGCCTGTGAGGGAAGGAAGGGTAAAGGTGATGGGTCAAATCACTACAAGTGAGGACTGTTTGGTACTAAACGTATGGACACCTAATGTGGAGAATAGGAGTTCATTAAAACCCGTCATGTTTTTCATATACGGCGGGGGATTGAGTTTGGGCTCAATATTTCAAAAGATGAATAACGCCAGTGCTTTGGCCACCAATGATGTGGTCGTTGTTTCGGTCAACTATAGGGTCGGACCCTTAGGTTTCCTATACGGTGGCGATGATACCAGTCCTGGAAATTTGGGTTTATATGACCAGTTGTTAGGTCTTAAATGGGTATGTCTTCTGAAGAAAGAAAATATGTTTATTATTCATTATTTATTTATCGTGTTTTATTAAATAAAAATAGGTCCGGGAAAATATTCATTTATTTGGTGGGGATAAGGATGAGATTACTATTTTTGGTATAAGCGCCGGCAGTTGGTCCGTATCGGCACATGTATTGTCTCCCCTATCAAAGGGTCTGTTTAAGAGGGCTGTTATGGAGAGCGGATCCGTTTTGTATAATAAGGACAGACCGGCGCTCAGTACGGTTGAGGGCCTCCAAAAGGCTAAGGATTTGGCAAAAAGACTTAATTGTGATAAATATGACTACAAATGGTTGGACTGTTTGCGAGCCATTGATGACCCAAACCTTTTCATAGAGTTTCCCATAAATGGAAATATGATTGAATTCACTCACGCAGTGTTTGGCACTCAATTCCTACCCGTTTTACCACAAAAAGCATTTGAAAATAATTTATACAATAATGGTAAATATTTACTTTAATTGTTAATAATACTTATTATATTATACATGATAATAATAATAATAATATACTGAAAATTCAATTATAATCATATGTTAGACATTGAGTTGATAGCGGGTGTCACCAAAGATGAGGGACCGATGTTTGCAATGAAGTTAATCCCGGAAATGAGGGCCCATTTTACAGTCGAGTCGTTCATAAGAGCTGTGAATAGACTGAACGATGTATACCGTAATATAGATGTGGAGGAAGTGTCCGATTATTATCTCAAAAGTATTGACACAACAAATGAGTCCCAATTGAAGGGAGCGTTGAGTGCACTCTATGGGGATCTGGTGTTCACGTGTGCGACCTATCACTTCGCCAAACAATTTGCCAAAAGTGGACAAAATGTCTATTTTTATAGATTTAATTACCAGAGCAATCAATTAGCAGAGATTAGTAACGGTTTATGTAGTGGTGATAACATATGCCACGGCGCCGATGCACCTTTTGTGTTGGGACAACCTTTAATACATCATCAGGGTGATTTCACAGAAACTGATTACGATTTCAGTATAGAAATAATGAATATATGGACAGATTTTGCTAAAAATAGGTATTTATTATTATTGTATTTTATAATTAAATATAAAATTAAATTAATGTAATAATGTATAATGCTTTATATTAAATCTATAGGAAACCACACAATGTTTGGCCGAAACTAATAGACATTTCGGACGCGAATTCAGTGCCAAAAGTGAAAGACTTGAATCCCAACGATATGTCACTTGTTTTGGACAATCCGTACGGAAGTACTTGTGATGGCATTTGGAGTCAATATTTTTAATTATTTAATATTTATATAATGTAATTTAAAAATTATTTTATTAAATCAAAATAGCGAAATTTTAATTTTAAATTTAATTCTAATTTATTTAATAATTTAATTACGATAGCTTGGAAAATTTAATATTAAAATTAATCTATTTCATTATGATTATACTTATTTATATAATATATGTTTATTTTAAATTCTTTATTCTAATTTCCCTGGTAAAAGTGTTGTATTATTGTATTAAACTGTAGTATTGTACAATCGTATTGAACAAAAATGAAATGTAAAAATTTTAAATACTGTTTAACGTATACTTAATGAGAAACAAGAGTTTGTTATTTTGGAGCTTTATATAAGTTATAATTTTTACAAATAATTTACCTAATTTCCAAATAAATATTATGTTACTATGTAGCCGCCAGTAGTTTTAAATTTGATAAACGAGTGTGTTATAATTGGTTCTTATAATAAATATAACTATTGCACCCTGTTATCAACAAATGCATGGCTTAATTGTTTGTACTGAAGTGTACTTATGACATTGAAACATTTGTATGCTGAACTGTAAATTATGTGGAGATTTACAGTATTGATAATTGAATAGTAAGTGCATTCCGGACATTTCACTCTATGTTAATGTCATGTAGTATATAAGGAAAAGGTATAAAATTCTTGTTTTTCATATAAT